TGGAAAATGAAAAACGGTCTGATCAGCCACCCGGTGGCTGAGCGGGTAGCATGCTTGCGTTCTGCCCATGAAGTCCCGGGTTCAATCCACAGTTGGGTCGACGGATTCGCACTGCTGAGACCCAACCAGGTCGAAATAGCTGTCCAGTGCTTCCTAGCTTTTCAGTTCACGCTTAATTTGACATATACACGACGAACTTCCTCTTTGAGACATTAGTGACTTGAGTTGAAAGTTACTTATGCAGGTAGAGGGAACACGAGGCTTCTCCGAATGAGGAAGGAACAAGTGAGCCAGTGCGCTTAGGGCGAAAACCCAACCACCCACGGGCACATCAGTAAGTGGTCCATCTTGGTGCAAAATACCAGCAGGCCACTAACGCTGTCAGACATCCGCTATTCCAAGCTGACGGCTCATAGATTTTGTGGCTGTCGTGAAAGACTGTTAATATTCATCCATGATGAGTATTCCGTAATTTTCTCCACATTTGCTCGCTCTATCATCTGTACTAAACAGCATGGAGCGGGATCCTCAAGCAAAGCGGTGAGGTAAACCAGTGCACAGGCATACACACAAAGCACCGAAATCACCGTCAAATCGCTTCCACTCGCGTGGCATCTATCCATAAACACGAAAGGCTTACTTCGTCTCAAGCCAACAAAGGTCTTTCATGTGAAGCAGGACAAAATTTCTCGACTTCAACCTTGTAATGAGCTGTTACAAAGTTTAACCCATGTTTCTCGAGAAGCAGTCATACGTCATAAACATGACTACCTCCCGTTCTATGATCTCTGGAGACTCGGTCGTGTAAGCTTAAGCAGCTACGCAACCACAAAACCCATGCCCGAAGGACAAGAAAAACGCATATCCAATATGGCGAAAGGAGCATGTTCTTGAGGAAGGGAAAATTTTGATGCCTACAATAGTTGCGAGTCTAGGGAACGCCGTTTGTACCTAGGGGTATACTGGAACAGGTGTGCACATTGTGAACGTACACAAAACCGCACAGATTATTTACCGGCGAGCACATTATTGGAAGATCTCGGTCATTGATCTCTCACCTATCTCGTTTTAATATTCCGATAATAACGGGAATGAATGTAAATGGTAACATGGAAAATAGTACTAATGGTTTAGAGTCTGTTCATCGATGCTCCACAAACCGAAACTTGACTGCAATCGTCCTTATTACCTACTACTGCAATCGCTTCTTGTTTGCTTTCAGGAAGAAGCGTGACTAATTCCGTTGGGCACGAAAAAGGAGGTTGGACAGAACCACCCACTGGCCGCATCACCACCACAAGAATTTCGTTCAATAAACCCACCGAACCGGGGATGATTCATCAGATGATAAAAGCCTCTTAAATCCAACTGCCATAATTCGGATTGCATTTAGTCAACTCAAGTTTATCTAAAATAATACCGTCCAGTCAAACAATTAGGGTTCCATTGGCAGGATTAGTGATAAGAACACCACTGCTAGATTGACACGAATTCACACATTGAAATCGGACACAAAGTGATTTGGAGCTAGCACAAACAACAGGATTGGAACATACGGTGCAAAATCCAGGAAAATGATCTATCCAGCGACTCTTCGCACGTTATCCCAAATTGTTGTGGTATAAGGCACCAGAGAAGACACAGATAGATAAGTGGTGAGGTTTCGATACGAAAATTTGCTCTATCATACAGAAATAGGGAAAGATACGTGTGTGTGTGTGTGTGTATGTGTGAATCACCCAATACGATATGGAAATAGTTGGGAGTGTGAAATAAGTTTGAGATGAAAGGAACAGAAGAACAAAGTGCGGTGGAATGAGAAGGAGAGGGTTGAAAAATTGACAGAATATTGGCACATATTACAAGAATAAGATGCATACACGGAATTCAATTTGCTTCTGGTCACTTGTGCTCGAGTTCGGGTGTTGAGAAAATCGCAGGACACAATTTTTGAACTAAAGGAGGTAGGTTGAACCGAAAATTCGACACGGTCATGCATCGCGAGGAGGACCACAGGAAAAGTGTAGGTATCAGACAGGAGTCAACTGGTATGCGTTCATCCACCAGTCGTCCTATTCAGGTCGGTGTGGATGCGTACTACTATAACTATTGTAATCTTGAAACAGACGAAACTGTTGGAAAATACGTAGTATAGTCAGTATGTCATAGAATAGAAGCGAGCAGGGTAGAAATCAGGGGGAAATCGATTGAATGTGAACGTAAAAAGCTATTTCACGCACACTGAGGCTATAATATTACAACACGGGCCATGGACAGCTCATTAGACGACTATTCATGAAAGTGGGTGACGAGAAGCGCATGTGTGTGTGCGGGGTGGGAGTGGGGGAATAGAAAGCGTGATAAAGACAGACAGACAGACAGAGATAATCACAGTTTGAATTGCATGTATCAGAGTCGAGCAGCGACAAAAAAAGTCGGGTGAGAGCAAGTATAAACTGAGGGATAAAATTTTAAAAAAACAAACGACACCTAAGCGACTGGAACAGTCTCTTCGCTCTAGGCGAATCACTGCAGTATCAGGTTGCATCCTCGGCCAAACTGACACGACTGGCAGAATTATGAGCGAAAAATTATTGCATCAGATAGTTGGACTGAAGCCAGTGGACTTTAACGAATGAGGGAATTGAAGAAGATTGTCAAGCATACGATTGACACAGTTAGATCAGTAGATAATGTGAATGTGTGTGTAATAAGTAGTGGTACGCATACACTTCTCACAAGTTAAGCAAAAATACAAGGACCGACACGTGCATGCACGCATTGAACACGTCAGTCAGTGTGAGCGTGTGCGTGGGTAGGAATGAATAAGCTGAATGACGATCGATATGTCAGTGTATGCAAATGTGTAATGGAACGCGGTCTGTACTACGAGTGCAGTTGGTCGAGTTAAACTTCGCGGACAGTTTGATAGGTTCTCGGAACCAGTTCTGGATTAAGTGAGTCCTGTCTGTGAAGCAAGTTACATGTGTGTTTGCGTGAAGGCTCGCATAGCACGAACCGGGTGAGAATGCTCACACCATCGAAAACTTGCTTGATTGAGATGAAGCGGACTTCTGATCCGACTGTCGAGGTGAGATCCGGACGGGCGGTCGTTCGAATGGAGAATGACCTAAACCCATTGCTGTACTGAGGGCACCGACTGCAGGACAGGACAGAGGATTACCTGCGGCCAATTGAGATAGGTGGACAGCGTAGCCTCGCGTCAAAGGCTAAAAGGGGGAAACAGACGAAGAGCACAAATCGGTCCGCAGTAAGTATTATAGATTACGCTGATTAATCAGTAACTTGGTGAAAGCACTTTATGGAATGAGATAGAATCGCAAAACATGAACGTTACAACTAATACAAATATCGAGATACCCGATTCCATCTGAAGCGGGAATCGTTGAAGGTTCTGTATCTGGAAAAAGTGGACGCACTGTAAAACACCACACACTAACTGCAGATGCTTAATTTAGGTATATTCTGCTGGTCACGGAGATAATGTGCCAAGGAAACTGGACATCCAGTAGAGTAGTGAGCAGCAACTAAACGAACAAAGAAAAGCAACTGACCACGTTAACACCTAATTAGTTCTCCTGTCGAATTGATTGATAACCCATCCCAGTCAAGAACAAATAAACGAGTACCCCCGGATACTATGTGTGTGCGTTGGGTAGTTTTGAGAGGTCATAAAATTTCAATTTCAAACTATATAACTTATATTCTAGCCATTGGAAAACAGTAGCAATAACGACAATACTCGCATATGTTTCATTTTCTGAGGCTAAGCGAACTGTGAACTAGTCACAATTGACACTCATTTGCCAAACCCAAATCTTGTCAGTTCTTTCCTAATAGACTGCAAATCACGATGTGCACGGAGAACAACAACCGTTTTGTCGACTTGCCGTAGACTGGGCGGCCTGCGAGCGCGAGATCCGACCAACAATAAAAATGTTCTGGGGCGGAATGTGGAATGATCGGTACATGTTCACATCTTTGCCCGAACCATAAGCGCAATGGATTCGCAATCGAACCTGCGTATGTAGTGTTTGTGTGTGAGAGAAAGAACGAGGGAGAGAAAAGAATATGGGATTACAGGAAAAGAAATGCAGAAGTAAACGGTCATCATCTACTGGAAAAAATCATCCAAGAACGAACTATATCAATGGAAAGCCTATTATGGGAGTGTAGTTTAGGTTGAAAGAAGTATCACGCTGACGCAGAACAAACAATCTGCTGTGGCCCATACGGTAAACAGTTTCACAAATGGAACTCTAAGACATTAGAACCCTTGGCTTTTGATAATCTATAGCAACCTACTGAGGATAGTAACGCATCAAGCTTTTCGAAATTGGAAAAGAAATTATGATCAGAACCGTTGAGTCAAGCAGGTAACAGGTTACTTCCTGCCATGTGTCAGGTCGCAAATGGACTGAGCGACATAGCTACCAGAAACCACATTTCAGTGACGTCGATGAGAAATCAGAGCATGGAAATGCGATATGGAGGGTTGGGATTAGAGTGCAGTAGGAAAGTACGGTATCACGCCTACTGTAAACTGGAGTGATGCTGAAGAGGTTCGCGTTTCACGGACCCGGTGGACCAAAACACCAGTGGAGATGATTTAAGCTATTCGAAAACCGTCAACCTGAACGAATGCTAGGTATGACACGGTGAAACAAAAATCTTTAAGCGATGCTTGTATCCGGTTATAAAAATGAATAAATAAATCCAGTGAAAGCTGCAGCATTTCATATTGGCAAAAGGAGAGAGGGAAGTCTAGCATAATTTTATCCAACAATCAAGAGGCCAACGTTCAGAGATCTGCGAATGACCGTGAAATGAACAACTCACTTTCTCGCAAATATTTTTCAATAGTTGACCCTTCTGGCGTAACGGATCGGTCGAGATACCCTCGACGAACAGAGTGATCCCTTGAGGAAAGTTGTGATTGGCTAGCCAACTGGTCACACGCCGTTGTTGCATGTCCGGTCGGGCTGAAAGGTAGATGATCAAGTAGCCCAAACTGTGCCAATGTCGTGCAACATCGACTGCGCCCGGTCGAATCTTCGGATCCTAAAGCGAAAATCATTACTCAACATGCGGTTCGCAACCGACGGATAAGGTAAAGGGGGGGAAACACAGATGCAGTGTCACATCGGCATGAAATTCAGGTGCCATGAGAATGAACTTCGTTCGGTCCCAACCGATTGACTCTTAGGATACGATTGGGTCTATAGAACAAGGATATGTGTAACTTATGTCAAGGAGAACTCGAAATTAACCAGATAAAACGGAATTCAAATCAGATTATTAACTCATCGATTCCGATCGCCCGGGCTTTTTCATTGAATTCTGATAAACATACTTAAAGACAGACATTCTTATCCAAAACGCCGTCGTATCAAGTTGGTTTATAAGTGGGTTTTTGGTGTATAAGAAATGAATTCAAAATTCAAACACGAATTACGTTTAGTGATTCATGGTGAAAATGAATAAAACAGTCAAATCAGTTGGCGAAAAAACGAGTGCTATATCATTTGAACTGACTATCTGGTGTAAGCAAAGTAACCAAATGAATTTATCGTGTGACAGTTGAAAATTTGTATTGTAAGAAAGATGGCACTTATTTGTTCAGCATGAAAAATCGAATGGATAGGATTTTTAGACAAGATGAGCAACGCGACATTCACTTAGCTTGTTCTGTGACACATGAAAGTGAACACCATTTCTAGGAGAAAATGTATCTGTGCATACACAACCCTTCGCACAGTCTGCTGAGAAAAGAAACGGAAACAAGAAATTTAACGCCGGTTGCTCTCTATCTCACTCTGATTCGTAATTTCTTGTATTCAACTCATCAGTTATTCAGACCTCAGTCTGGATAACCACGACACCCACTCTTAACAGGCAATTCATCATACATCGCTTCCACATCTAATGTTGATCTCCACGTGTTTCCGTTGTTGTGACGACATAATCGCCGAGGCGTTCACGAACACACAACAGTGTGATTCGGCGGTTCGAACACACACTTCATCCAAGCTATATGAAACTATGTAAGTCCTAACGGTCAAAAATGCCAATCATTGAGTGTTGCTAACACAAACGTAAGATCCCATCCACAGCCGAGGAGTATAACTAACCGCACGATGGTATGCTAAAAGCGACCATCCAACTTCAGTATAAATTCAAGTGAAGTGTTTAACAAGCGTGAGGATTACCAGAAACCAAAAGGTCAACTGATACATTCGATTAACCGGATGGACGGAAAACATGATGGAATACTAACTTTTCCCATGATGGATAAACTAGCCGCGAAACTGCCATCAACGCTGAACACAACTGCTTCGGTGTTTGGCGGAACAACAGCTAAAGTTAGCTGAACCGGATGTTCACGATCGGACTCGGCGCTGAGCAAGATCGGATGCAACCCGACGGTGAATCGGCGTTGTTCGGGAACATGATAATGAATACGACCGGATGAATCGGTGACCTCCGTACCAATGGTGTTCCACGTGCCACTAAGAGAACGCGACTGAATAAGGATCTGGAAAAGAGAAATAATTGGTTGATAAAACATAAAATAAAATAAATATGGGTGAAGTGACGAATTAACTAATTTAACCATCAAGAACGAGTAACAAATGGCGGTAGTTGCACAAAGAACGCATACGCAGACACATTTCACATTCGATTCACTATAAGCCGGTTTGGGGGGAATCGAATAGACAAACCCATTACTGAATGATGAGAAGTTCTGAAGATATCAACAATAACGCTGAAAACATTATTCTGAAATCCAATCAAAAGAGGAAATGTCTTAATTTTGGGCGTATTCCTTTCACTTCTCTAAGTGGCCGAGGTTAATGACGTTCGATGAAACAATGCTAGTATAGTTTGACTACTGATGAGTAAGCAAACTCTGAACCACATAATTTCTACAGGGGTATTGGCCATTCTGTTTACATCATCTACGGCAGACTCAGCTTGGTGTGTCCTTTCAGATACAATTTAACATCAATGTAAAGGTAAGAAATTCCTTTAGCTCCACGAAAAAATAACGAATCAAAAAATGTATAAATAAAGCGGATAAGCAAGTAAATGGCCGAGCGAGTGAAATGAAAGAAGAAGAAAGGAAACTTGAAAGTGGAGTCGAAAACAAAATGGGGAAGTTCAGTGGTCTACTGTTGCAAACAGATTGAGAAGATGCACGAACGCCACTGGTTGCGACACCCAGCCATATCACTCAGTGTCTCTAACCGTCGGTCATGATCATCCCGAGGTCCCCAGCCAGGGAGCGTAATAGGACCTATGTGACCCAGTCTCCTGGTTAGGGTTTTCATATCCTCGTGCCAGGTGTTAGCTTGACCACCCTTGGCTTTTTTCCACTCGGTGTCTGCTTCGGCGAACATCGCTCGCCGTGGTAACCTATCTGGTGACATGCCTAACACATGTCCCAACTAACGTAATCTATGGAGGTCAACCACTTGCTTCAGTGGGCGACCGTATTTTCCTAAAACTCTGCGCCTCACCTCAGCATTGCTCATCCGGCTACCCCACCAGATTCATGCAACAGTCTATCTTTATCCAGTTTTCTTAATGGCTAAGTTTCTGCGCCGTATAGCAGAACTGGCCAAACTGTCGCGGCATACACTCGACCCTTCCCAGATAGCCGGATGTCGCAACAGCGCCACAGATGTCTCAAGTTGGCAAATGCCAACCGAGCCTTCTGGCGTACTCTATCTGGGGTCGAATGTAGGCTGATAACAATCGTTGGGACAGCGTAGGTTAAAATTTACCAAATACTCGTTTTAGCCAAGGAACATGTCTTACAGCGGTAGAAGAGGTCCGGGAGCAGTTTAAAGAACAGTTTAGATCGTCTTGAACAATGATGCCGAGATCCTTCTCATTCGAGACATACGGAAAATGTTGATCTCCCAGGAAATGCGGAAACCGAGTTTTGTGTCGAAAGGATACGATCGTACATGTTGATGCAATAAATTCCATATCGTTTTCGATCGACTATTGATAGGCCGCATTAAGTGTTCTTTGGAGTTCTGGCAAGTCCTCTGGTGTTGTCACCGTTTTCCATCTTTTTGCATCGTCTGCAAGCATTAATGTTTCTGGCCCCAGAATGTCCGTTAGGTCCTTGATCAAATCAAGGAAACGTTGAGGGCCCAGCACCGATCCCTGTGGAAATCTTTGTGCTATGCTGATGGGACCAGAAACTGACCCAAAACCTGAACTGCCATGGTGCGTTGTTGAAGAAATTCTTCTATCCAGTCCAGTACAAGTCCCCAAATTCCGTAGTTGTGTAGTTTCCTCCGGAGTATTTTATGGTTCACTCGGTCGAATGCTTTGGAGAAGTCGAGGTACACGACGTCCACTGCATCACCGTGATCCACTGCTTTTGTCCACTTTTCTTGGGTCAGAAGCAGGTTAGTGGTACAAGATCGCCTGCGACGAAACCCATGTTGAACAGGGGATAACACATTGTATTTTTCCAAGTGGTTCATCATATTATCTGCAACAATGGATTCCTTGACTTTGGATAATATGGGGAGGAGAGTAACCGGGCGGTAGTTAACTGGGTCGCTACGACAACCGCCCTTATATATCGGAGAAATTATCCCTTGTTTCCATGTTTGCGGGAGCACAGTTTTGTTGAGCATTTGTTGGAATAGTTTGTTTAGTGGTTGAGCTAAGTTAGTTACTCGCCAGGTTGATAAGGGTTTATGGATGGATATTATCTATCCCTGGAGATGAATTCATTCTCAAACAGTGAGATTTCAATGCCATGATTGCTGGGGAAAAATGAATTGTGATGAGCGTTGGATATGGTATATTCTCATGTAACAGAGGCAGTATGCACGTGTACAGATGCAGCAAAATGACCATGGATACATTGTGCAAACCTATGTTTCTGACTTCTTTGTTCAAAGTTGTGACGGAAAAACAGTGTTTTCAGTTTCTCAAACGTCGCCTCCCACTATGCAGTTGACCCCCAAATCGTCTATCGCACAACTAGAATACCCACATCCCCGGTAAAAGAACGTCTACTCCTGTACACCAACTCTAATCTGATCTACCAATTCCGATGTGGGTGCGGAGCGTCCTATGTGGGCAGAACAGAGTAACAATTACGTAACCGGGTGGTTAAACATATTCCAAATTGGGTCCAAAAGCAGATAACGCATTCTGGGTCAAGTCCGCGGCATAGAAACAAGGATCGAAGCTACAAGACCGGTCATCAGCAATAGCTCGACATCTTCTGATGACGCAACTCCAGATCCACCGAAGCACCGAGTTTCGGATTATTTACAAGTCACGAATCGCAAGATTGCTAAGGTTTGGAGAAGCGATTGCTATCAGCCGATGGAAGCTCCCCCCCATGTGTCAACAAAAAGAATGTTAGTTTATCCTTACCCTGGTGACATAGTCCTTTTACCCATTCCCCTTTTCATGTTTCTCTGTTTAATTTTATCTTAGTCTGCTTTGTTGCCATGCTAAATCCCTATATAAATTTTGTATTTTCTGCGGTATGCACAGAGTTGAGATTCAGCGAAATTGTCCTGGACATAAATTGTGCAGTATTGCAATGTGGCTTTTTCTTTTGAAATACATCTCGGGAAAGGCTTTCTCCAATATCGTAAGTGCAATATAATGACAAAGATATGAATGTAAAATCTTCGGAGATGACAAGTTTCGTCGGAGAGATCAATCGTACTCAGTCTACGAGTTAATACACAAAGAAACAAGGAAAGGATCTTTTCTGAGGTTCCCTAATCTCGAGCATTGCTTGATCACAACGGTAAAAGGAGAACTAATCACTGGTGAATACGATGTGGAATGATTGTAGCTCGGGATGCGGATGTTGGTATTCGAGCTGGAAGTGTTGTTCACACTTGTTTTGCAGACAGATCAGACAACGTCTGTGAACAACACCCTGAACTCGGGGAACACATCAACACCAGCAACCAATCACTAGTGTATTCACAGTTTGCCATATACGGGCAAAACGAGAAATTGAGCGCCCGCAAAATGATCAACCTCCATATCCCTCGTACATTTAGTGGCTCACCTTTTCGTTTGTCATTGAAACCAGGTCCAGTAAACCAAAGACAAAACGTGCGGTTATAATTTGTGGTTCTCCTTCGCCTACAATCACATCATTGGCACGATGATTCGATTTGACATTCTGGAAAAATAAAAATCGGCGGAACGGGTAATGCGATGTTTCAGCACGAACTAACACGTATGTAGCACATAAATAAGACAATGGAAAGAGCGGACGTGTGGAAAGGAGCAGAGGTAGTCGGTGGCGAGAGGAGAAAGCACACACAATACGGTAAGGAAAAATAGGCCGATGAAACGGATCACCAGTTCCGTACATAATGAAGACGACAACGAAGACGACAGCCACATCGCTTCTGGAAAGTGGTAGCAACTATTTGGGACATTGGATGTAATTCGGACCGGGGGTGATTAGGTGAACATCACTGAAATTGGCTGATGACAACAGTAACAACACGGAACACCAAACGTCGCACAGAAAAAAAACCGGGTGGGATTAAGGTGACAGCAGAAAAACCGAAAGAACAGCGTGCCTATGTTGGACAGCCGCAAGAAAGATCAAATCGATACGAATGGCCAGGGTTTATTCAGATTTAGCACAGTTTATACACCTGAACAAACCCATACAGAGAGAATCAGAATTCAAAGTATATGTAGACACGGGTAAAATCGGTCCGAAAGCGTAATAGCGTACAACTTGTAGCGGCGAGGCACCGGAGTGTACAAAGTCCGACCGGTTTTCAATGCATCATAAAATACACCTTTTGGACAGAATGAAATGTGCAATGTTCAATACATTGATGTTCTACCCAGCCACTGATCACTACCACAACCAAGAATATGTGAGTGCGGTTCGTACACCTTCTCTTGATTAGTTTTGAATCAGGGATTTTAGTCAACTACTGTGGACTGCCAGTGATTTAACGACCTGGTTAAGTTCAAAGGCATTGAAGAAGTTAAAAAGGGAGAGGATACGCGTGAATGCATTGTAAGAACAAAATAGTCATCACCGTTCATTAATGACAGCTATCTTGGTGGGACTGCAGAACATACTGTAAAAGTGACTTTTACTGGCGCTATGGCGCTAGGTCGAAAGGGTATTTCACAGTTTTCTGATCGTTTGAGTCCGAGGACAGATGACAAACACCTACTTGTTATTGTTTTGCATTGTGGATCACAGCTCGTATTGTGGGTGCTGCACGGGAGAAAAACGGCATAATTGAATCCGGTTGCCTACTACAACATCCGCCACATCATACACACGTCCACGCCCGACCGACAGAAGATACAAATCACTGGATTCGACAAGGTTGGGGATGAACACCCACTAGTGACTACAAACCGGAACCGAATTCTCAACTAAAATGATAACAGATAAGCGGAGGACGCCCCAGGGCTGGGAGCAGACAACTCACAAAAGATGAAGAAAATGCTAAATAAGTGAGGAGTGGCATAGTGTTTCACAACCGCCTCACAAATATTGGGAGACTGGAAACCCGAAAGGATAAGAAGACAAACAAAGACAACAAACAATGGAACACTGGACCAAAACACAGACGCTCAGAAAAGAATTCACCAGTCGCATACAGAACGACCCCGACGTCCCCCATGAACAGGCAGATTATACCCGGAAGCAAGTAGGACCGATGTTTTTCTGATAACACGTCTTTTTTGACGAACAGAGAGAAAGACATAAATTGATAGAAAATGCAAGGTTTTAAAAACAACACAAACCAGGGCAAAGTTGGCAATAAACAAGCTGTCCACGAATAGACTGGGAGCCAACCGTAAAAAGACCCAAAGACAAACATATGCCGGGACCGTGAGCTCACCAAGTGATAGGGTAGACAAGTATTCTGTGTGAGGACGGAGTGTGAAATTATACATTTGTCAGATTGCGTTTATTACAGACTAAGATAAAACTATCGAGATGTTTCAAGTGCAACCACAACAGAAAATTAATGATAAATTTAAAATCTATGAATCAAAATGAAACAAGTCATTTTCAAGTGTTTGGTCGTTCGAATATGTACATAACACATATATGTACATTTTTAAACCGACCGGCAAAAAGATGAAAAAAGTTATGATCGATTATCACCTCTGTTTAGAACTCATTAGTAAATATAACTTTTTACTGCACTGGGTAACTGCAGTAAAAAGACGGATGAAATTTATGCCCAAAAATGATCCAAATTTCCTTTGAGTATGCACAAACATAAACAATTCTTCATCTCTTTGAAGGATCAGTGTAGGATACTAGTGAGTATCAAGAATCTCTGGAGTCGCGTATCGGATATTTTGGAGTAGACAGGATGCTTCAAGGGCGATGTGGTTATGTAGAAAAGGTATAGGAGTAGTGGTGGGTGCCGGGAAAGCATTCTAGCTGAAACTAAAGTATCACGTACCAGATGATAACTGCAAAGTGACAAACTGACAAGTAACCGAAAGATGGAATTCACACTTGTTCCACTCAGGTTTCAGCCCACTGACCACAGTACAGATCACAACGTGCATGTTCAACGGAATTCAGTACAGAGTAAGCAAGTTAACGTTGCACTTTCGATTGCTGTTATTTGCACCCTAATTTGAAAGAAGAAGTGGAGGAAAGATAAAGAGCTGGTAGCGGTAGCAGCATGAATTGTGCCATGAAGTAAACGATCCGTTGCCCGAGATGGCTTTGCTGAATATGAATCGGCGTGCCATTGAGCTTCTTGATGGTATCAATTACGCCTGCTTCCAACGAACTCGTATTCTCAATTAGACTGCTATCAACAGCCATAGCCCCTCCACCGCTCTCGAGTTTGCTATCTAACACGTCTCGTAGTCATTCTTAAGGCTACTGTTGAGCT